ATGTTGTCCACACTCCTGTCATGATACAAGCGTCTATAGCATTCTTTCTTCTCCTTAATAGCCCTTTGGACTTCCTCGTTCCACCACCAAGTATATTTAACCTCGCCTCCACTTTCTTTGGTTACTCCACACACCTCTGAGGCCACCTTTCGAATGTTGGTTGCCATCTTCTTCCACATGTTGTTTATGTCCTCTTCTTCCTACCAAGAGCCCTCTTTGATAACCCTTTCACTGAATACCTCTGACGTCTCCCCTTTTAGTTTCCACCACTTTGTTCTTTCAATCTTAGCTTGTTTATCCCTACAGGCACGCACTTGAAAACGAAAGTCTATCACCAAAAGCTTATGTTGAGAAACAACACATTCCCCTGGTATCACCTTGCAACCAAATAACTCCGAGAAACATTCAGTTAAAAAAGGTTGTCTGTGTGCAAGTTCTCACCTATCATAAACAAAGCATATTTGTTTGAGAAATGCTTATTTGTCATTGGCCTTCTGCTAAGAAAGGACATTGAATTCAAATGAACTGCAAAGCCATCGGATACCTCAATAATCAAATCTTTACTAAATATTTGGAGAGCTCAGGCTTTGTATAAATCAAGGCAGTCTCTTTTGTTTTTTTATTTTGAATTGACAAAGGATGATCCAATCCCATCCAATGTTCAAGAAGGTGCTAGGCGGTTTCTAGGCAACGACCCACGGCCTAGAGCCTAAGCGAGCCTAGGCTAGCCTAGGCGTTTCAAGGCGTTTTCCTAATTTTGCATTCAGCGTGTAAACTAACAAGTGAGTAAGTGACAGCTAACTAGCTGAGCTATGCATTCAGTCAATCAGCTAACTAGCCAAGCTATACATTCAGTCCATCAGTCATTCAGTCAATTAGCTATACATTCAGAGTTCAGGCAATCACAGATACATACATGCAGCCATCAAAGGATTCAGTCAAATAACAGAGGAGAGGAGCAGGCTTCAGATTCAGTCATTCAGAGGCTTCAGATTCAGTCATTCAGACCACTTCAAAGTTCAAAGAAAACAGAGGAGAGGAGCAGGGGAGGACAGATTGACCTGCTGGCCGCTGCCGCTTAGGGAGGAGACCGGCGGGGAGGGGACTGACCGGCGGGAGGGGCGCGTCCGGCGGGAGGAGCGCGTTCGGCGGGGAGGGGAACGCCTAGCGGGAGGGGGCGTCCGACGGGGAGGAGCGCACCCGACGGGAAGGTGGGCGCCCGGCAGGGAGGAGCGCGCCCGACGAGGAGGCGGGCGCCCGGCGAGGAGGAGGGCGTTCGGCGGGAGGAGCTCGTCCGGCGGGGATGCGAGCGCCTAGGGGTCCGCCTACCCCCATAGGCCAGGCGGGACCCCATCGCCCAGCGATTAGGCGCGCCTAGGCGGGGAGGAGGCGTCGCCTTTTTTATCCTTGATCCCATCTCAAGGGCAAAAACAAAACAAAGAACCTAGTTACCTACACATGTATTTTCCATGTCATATGGCACGATAAGGCAACAATAGCTAAATAATCTACGTTTCCATGGACTGTAGCCCTAACATGCTGCTGTAAATATGTTCCTGAGCAACCAAATTGCAGAATGTTTTACGTATGTACTTTCATATGCCTTTGTCCAAAGAAAATTCAGTCTTCCATCCCACAAACAAAACAATGGTAGCATATATCAAAGCCTACAAACCAATAGTTTGTCCCATTCCAAATTTCCAAATTTTAAATAATCTTAATGTAATGCAGCAGTATGAGCACTGGAGGTGGACCAGACAGCGGCATGGATTCAGTAGACCATGGTGAAAGTCATCCAGGTCCTCGTAGATGGCATCAAGTGCCGTCACGGCAATAGTCTATTGGTAGGTGACTAACAGAATAGCAGTCATCTATCTGCACATATATTTTAGGTTCAAACTCAACAATCATCTCATAGAGGCAAAGCATCGAACACTTGTTGTGCATATGTGCTCTGAATAGACAGAGGTGGGTAGCAGGAGACGTACCTCGCAGTGTGGCATGCCCTTCGTTGCCTGCATGTATCAACTAGCAGCCGGAGACATGCGCGGGGAGGGGACGGGACGGGACGCCAGGAGCATCGGCAAGGCGAGGAGCGACCGCCGCCAGTTTATCGCGGACGTCGTGGAATAATTTCCTTCAAGTCCAGCGGCTGGATCAAGTGGATGCGAGCGGTGCGAGACGAGTGTGGATCGGTTGCAGCAGTGAACGCAGGTGAGCACTCGATGCCATCTCCTCCACTCCTCCAGCGCAAGGGCCGCGGCCCACGTCTTCGCGCCGCTCTCCTCTAGTACTGCGGCCGTGCTCAGGCGGCGGAGTCACGCCGCGGCCGTGGCCGAGCGCGGGGGCGTGGCCCTCGTCTTCGCGCCGCTCTCTAACGCTCGTGGCAAGCGGCGGCGCAGCCTCAGATTGGGGAGCGGGTGGCGAACGGCGGCAGGGGTGGCACCCGGCAGCGCGTCCTGGACAGGGGCGAGGACGGGTACGGGGGCGGCGCTCGGCGGGGACGGGAGCGGCGGAGGAGGAGGAGGCGCGGCACAGGGCTACGGGAGGAGGAGCGTCGGGACTCGGGACTGGAAGGGAGCATGGGAGGACGAGCTGACGCGCGAGAAGGTTCGGATGTTTTGGGTCCGCAGCGAAACTGAGTGGAGGCCCGAATCGACCCGTAATCGGACGGATCACATTGCTTCGTCGCTAGATCCAACGGAGAACGCGTTAGCGGGCGACGTGGCCATATCCACCGCCCGAACCTTAGCCCTGATTTCGTAGAGATAAGGGCGTACAACGGACGCCGGAGTGGCCTCTGTAGAGATGTATATTTGCAAAAAAAAAAAAACACCGCCTCCGGTGGCATTGAATGAAGCGAGAGAGGGAAGCCGTCCTCTCGTGAGGCGATGGCAGTGGCCCGTGCTCTGAGGCTAACACGACGGCAGAAGCGCCATTGTACGGGACGTCGTCTCCCAGCGGCGCGCGTGGGGATGTACGTGCAGCCAAACTTGGCGCGAGTTCCTCTTGCTCCGCGTGCGCGAGTTCTTCTCCATTGCCCTGTCGATTTGCAACAGCAACTCCTTCCCTCCCCAAATCTGCAGCGACCATGAGGCAGTGGCTGGGCATGAGCAGATGGTCGATCTGACTACAGCTTCCTCCTAGCGAGTTCTATAGTCATCAATCTTGTTGTTCTGTTCCTGTGAAGATCTGTTCTGACGAAAAGAACTGTTCTAACGAGATGGCCCCGTTCGGCTTATCCAAAAACCGGCTTATTTTTTCAACCGAAATAGTGTTTTTTTCTCACAACAATTTAGCTAGAACAGTGTTTTTCAGCTAAGTTTCAACAAACCGAACGGGGCCCATGGCAATTCCCTGTCAGTTCTAAGATATTTTTTTTGCTATGTCTCAAAACTATTCTGCTGGAAAACTTCTTGTGATCCTTGGTGTTGAGTGGCAGAATATTTTTCTTTGTTCTTGCAACCAGTTAGATTTCTGAAAAATACTGATCATTGCTGTGTGCTCTGTGCCTGCCGTGCTGTTTAATGGACGAGCAAGGTCAAACCCACGTCACCTTGCCATTTCCTATAGAAAAATAAAAGAAGAAATACACCTAGAATACAATTATACGTACCCTATATAGGCAACAAGCATGTGAACCATCCATCTCTTGATGCTATATTTGGTTTATGCTGAGGAAGAAGACATATGTTATATTTGATTTATGATGAAATATATTATATTATATTATATATATAATATATATATGATTTATTTTGAAGGATTTGTTTTGCACCAATTAGTAACACAATGGTATATATGATTGATATTTATAAGTGATCATGGCAACACGCAAGCATTAAACGCAAGCATTAAATGGTTTGTGGACAGCCAAATAGACAGCAGCTGTCTGTGGGTCGTACGAGCTGTCTGTTCAATCGTCTGTGTTGTAAATTCCAATAACTTACATACAACAGCTGTCTCTCTGTTATACATGCCCTAAGGGTGTATTTGATTTGAGGACAAAGGGAATGGGATATAGCCAATCACAAATTGGATATGCATATTCATGTTGTTTGTTTGGTTGGATAGATGGAGCGAACTATTTTTCTTTTTTGATTGGATGAATGTAAATGGATGGGATGAGAATACATGACTAATTGTACTTATATTGTTTAATAAAAATTTAAAAATAACAAGTAGTTATACATTAATAAATGTGCACTATCACTAATTTTTATCACGGTACAGTCGCTAATTACAAAAAGAATATGTTAATTAGTACCACTATTGTCTTAATTGGCATACAACACTAATTAACATGTTAGCACTTATCAAAATTAATCTTGCCATCATAATTACTATACTAGTAATCCTTAATTGTTTATTAATGATAGAGATTAGAAAACATGGATGAGCTTGTCAGACAATTGTTTGATGGCAAGGATATCTAGCATCTAGGAGAATATTTCTCTGTCAGGGATATAAACACACCCTAAAAAAAAAAAGAGGCCGAGGGGAGTCTCTGCATATTATTCCTTGTCTGTACTACATGCAAAAGAAACCGAGGGGAGTCTCGGCAGGTGCATATTATTCCTTGTCTGTACTACATGCAAAAGAAAAGAAATAAAGAGCTCTTGTTTCTCCATTTCTCAGTGTTCATATTGTGCTCTTAACATGTGCATACACTGATTGATATAATGGTTTCTTAACATGTTATTAGCACGAGTTCTACCGAGCTGAAAGCTAAGAGGTGAAAAATTAACCCTTATCGATATATTATTCTTGTACTACACTGACAAGCACAAGAATACTGCTTATGAAAATAAGCATGTGCGCCACTAGTATTCACTAGTTTAATTATATGAAATTGGACACCATGAATCTATCCATTAATGGATCCATCGAACCATCAGCTAAAGCCCAAAATTACGAACATCCACATGGTATACATCTATGATGACTTTTTGGTTTCATAAAACTGAACTATCATTACAAATCTGAACAGCAAAAGGAAGCTAGGAACAATCACCGCTCCTCAAGCTTTGCAGCAGACCTAGGTAGCCACGACAATCCGGATTTATGTACCTGAACGCAAGGTTACAATGTCAACATCTAAGAAATTGTTTTCCCCCGAAATTGCATTACTCAAAACACAAGTTATATGCATATAGTACCCATGACGGAAGAGGAAATCGATGATCACAAGGTTGCAATTTGGCTTGAAAAATTCTGTCCTCCGTATAATGTTTGCAGCATGTGGAACAGGGATTAGTCTGAAGCTATCAACCTCACCATCTGAAAAAAAAAGGAGAATAAGTTTGCAGTGGATTGAGATTTGTATCAATGTGAATATACAAAATTAGTACGACATCAAATGTTTTAGTAAGTACCTTCATTATTAGGAACAAAATCAGCAGGAAGTTTGAGGTCATAGCAGAAGAGAACATCCCTTTTGTATCTAAAGCCTTCAATATCCATATAAGAAACCGCTCCAACAGAAGCAGCACTAGTTTATTTATGATAATATTTGTTACACATTTCACTCAGAAACATAACAAAAAAATCACAAAAATTGAACAGGAAGTTCTAAGGAAAAAGTTTGGCATTTTACTTTGTTGATATGGATCTTGCGATTCCAGCTTCCTCCTCACATTCCTTGATGATATTCTCTTTGCAGGATATTCCATATGGCTAAAATGATCCAAATTGAGTCAACATAAGCTAGTTCTACACTAGAATGAAACAAAAATCACATTTAGGTTTTAGTTTAGGTTACAGCCTATTTCATTCAGGTATGTTAAAGCCAAGCAGCAAAAATCAACATAGTCCATGTCCGGTCTTGCCAGCTGCCATGAGGCCTAAATTCAACAAATTACATACAGGCTGCCAACATCTACATTTTATACCAGAAAGCTAGCTAAAATCTGCCTTAGTGTCCTTCAACATCCAAGACAATTAACACAGCGAAAATTCTAATACCATGTAGGAAAAAGAAAAACCATTAAGACCAGTGGTTTTCTCTCTCTAAAATCAATACATTCAGATCTTATGATAGACCAAGAAAGTACTTAAGTCCAAATTTCTAGCTGGTAATGATTACCAGCTAGAACAGTCAACATTGAATATAATAGACAACTATCATATTCAGAATATGTCCAAAAGAGATGAAACATCGCTAAAATGGGTGCTCAACTACATATATGTTTTACCACACATCAGGTGTATGTGCGTCCATACACATTTACTTTGTTAATGGAAGAATTCCATTTTATCAATTTGTGGTTGAACATTCTCAAAAAGAATCCAATTTAACCATTTTAGCATGAATATAGCATCAAAGGGCATATGGAACAGATTAAACAGTATTTAGAGCAATTTAGAATTTTTTGTCATCAATCTTTAGCAAATAATTTTTTTTTGTTGATAAAGTAAATGGAAAAGCTAACGAGAAGAATGAAAATGCACACCAGGCCACCAGCAACCAGATGATCAAGCATTCCCGGATATGTTTGCTTCACATCACTTCGCTTACCAATCCAAAGAAATTTCTGACCATTCTTCTCAACATACCCATTCATATGAACTCCATAAGCCTGTCATAAATGTAATTTCATTGACAAAGGACAAGGGTCTAACAGTTACTTACAGATACGTGCACAGCTGATGGATATAATGACAAAGAAATAATAATGTGAGTAAATTTGGGGCACTGAGAGCAAGATTAGTAGTGGGATGGTACCATTAGATGTGTACAATGCTTATACATATATAAGAAGAGGAAGCACTATAACATACTTTTATACCAAAGTAGGGAGCAGCAGCGCGTTCCAGAGAGAAGTACACAGGCATGCCATAAGATGATGTTACTGGGTAGAGCTGTTAGAATGCAAACTATGATCAGAACACGAAACTAAACATGTATATGAAACAAGAATAGACGCAAAGCTCCAGTGACATGATAGGAAAAAAGGGACAACTTTTTGAATAAATTTAACAAAGGGGTTGTTGCTTTACCAAAAATGGCAGCTTGTGGTGATGATGACAAAGGAATGGGCATACAAAACTTCAGATCATTCCAACAACTAATTATCATCTGTGTGCGGATCTTTTAACCCCAGTAGAGGAAACATGAACAAGTTCAAAAATATTTGTCACTACAAGGCTGATTTAGTCCATAACAAAGTGCTCACAAACCATTAGGTTTAGATGACTATTATATATTTGAAGTGCCAATGCATCTGTTACTGAAGCAAAGCTGACAAGGATGAATTTAAAAATTAACAATTTCCAGATGCCAGAACGAGCAGGTTGTTTTTTTTCTCGAATGACGCAGAAGATCTGCACGTCATTTCATTAAGATAGAAAAATACAAGACGAGCTGATTTAGAAAGAAACCCAGCTTGCCAAAACCAACACCACACACACACACACTAACCAAAAGGGGGTGGGGTGGTTCTATACATGGCCAGGAACAGGTTGCTTTTATCTCATGATTTTATAACCAAAGTATATAAACCTTAGCTTGCCTCTCTACATAAACTCCCATGATGTCATTAAAAGATTGACAACGACAGATAGAAAAATGCACCAAAATCATTTCATAAAATAGCTGAATAATTCATATAACCATCCAAAGTACCTCATTTCGAATACCTGGGATCATTTCTCCAAGGCTCTTAATGACACTTCCAATAGCATGTGTTCTGTCTTCTGGAGTCCTTAGCGATGAGTGGAGAGACACATGCTCCACAGTGTTGCTACCATTGTTGTCCAAGACAATGGTAAAAACATCATGAAAGTCTCTGAGATATTCGATAAATCTGAAATTGGTATCAGTATGTTAGACACCTCAAAATGAAACTTGACCTGCAAATTCACATTGAATCATGAGTTATGTATCCTTGACCAGCAGTTCAGTACAGTCATAGATGCATGTTTGTCAATATGAACAGTGAACAAAAATAAGTAAAAGCTATGTTCATCCTATCATGACCATGATCATTATGCTTGGAGTTACTTTATTTTTAGGAGGACACTAACATGCGACTGAAAGATCAACCCTTCAGTTACCATAAATAGAAACTGGTACATTTTTAATAAAGATATGGTAACAACTAGAAGCTACGAGCTCCATTCTTGAAGTTGTTGCAAGACCTGTGCAACTTGCATTTAGACCTGGGAATGGACTTGAATCATCCATAGTCCAATTGGATTTTTTCTTCATGGATTCCTTTGGAATGGATTTATTTGGACTTGCACATAGATGGAGGTGAGATCCAAAATTAACTTTGGATAATTGGACATCCAGAGTAGAAAATCCAAAATCCAAAATCCACACTCTTCACCAGTGGCGATGGCAACACCTTCCGCTTCCACGGCAAGAAGGACCAGGACTTCTGCGTCTTCACCGACGCTGGCCTCCACATCAACACACACTTCATTCTACGTCGGCACCCACAAGACTGCCAGGTGGAAGCAGCAACGACGTCGACTGCCTCAACCTGGCCTTCAACAGTGAGCCCATCTCCATCCCGGCGCAGACCGGCGCCGTGTGGTGGTTCGCCGCCATGCCTTCGCTCACTGTCACGAGGAATGCCGCGACCAACGGCGTGAGGGTGCATCTCATGGGGGTGCTCGACGTCGTGGCCTACATTGTGCCCATCAGCGAGGAGGACTCTCACATACACAGCTACTGCATGACGGAGGACAACAACCTCTACACGACGGTCAGGCTCATGTGACTTCCAGCCTCCTGTTATTTGGATATTGGATGGATGTTGGATTTTGAGTGGAGGGATTGGATTGGATTGGATTTTCTCTGATTTTAGTTGGACTAGAGTGGACGTGGATTTCAAATAGTTGGATCATTCTTGGATTGTTTTGATTTGTACATGGACTTAGATCCATTACCAGGTCCACTTGCATTGGACATATAATCATCACTCATCAGCATGCTGACCAAAGCTTGGTCGATTCTGCTATAGGCAAGGAACAATAGTGACAGATGGAGACATGGGGTAATACTTTGTTCTGCACAGGTAATAGACGAAACAGGTTGCCTATTGTTGTTTCTTGTTTGTTTCTTCATATAATGTATTGTTGTTCAGTTGCTTTTTAGTGATGGTGTAGCTGGCTAGTTCAAGCTGCAGGGAGTAACACCTTTTGAACTGTTTTCTCTGTTTCTGGTTCATCTTGCGGTTGCCTTCATTTTGCTAGGTAATCTGAATCAGATAGGCCTAGAGTTAAGTGTAAGGTAGACCCGTTCTGTGTATCTTTTTTGACCTCTTGGTCATCTTAATTGCTGTCTGAACTACTCTAAAACTGCTGTATTTCCATTATTCAAGTAATGGAAATGGGATCTGCCTCGATTAAAAAAATATATAATGTATTGTTGACTGAAGTGATGCGTTTAGCTTATTATTGTGTCATGGCAGTCGAGATTGTCAGTAATTTCGCCATGTCAAAGAACAATCTTGTGTCACCAAGCAGCGAGCGGTCAGTGCTTAGACTGAACCATACAGGGCATGTTTTAAATCAAACGGCGTGGTTCTGGCATAGCAGAAGAAAAATGACAAAAATAGCAACAGTAATAGACGAAGTGGCAAAACAGAGCAATTTCTGTTGGTATTACAACTTCCCAGTTTCTTTTGGTGGCAATGATATATCACTAAAGCGGTGACTTCTTGGTGACATATAGCCAATGTTTCCTTTATAAGCTAACATAAAAGGGCTGAGGATTCATGAGGTCCTGGATATTCATTTATATATGAGGTATTCGGAAACATTATTTAAAAGCACTAAAATTTTCGCTGGTTTTGTATGTTAATACTGCTACTGCACTTTAACTCTTCGAGAACATTATAGCCAGGAAATCTGAAAAAAAATTATTAGAAACAATATACAGTACAGTCATTCGGCAAACAAAACTTAGATTGGCAGAAGATTCCAAATATAGTCTGCAGTCTAATTAAAAAAACATTCAGACAGCATGAAGATCCATCTGCCAATCTCAACTACCAATGGAATATATGTTTTCTGAAAAGACCATATATGGTATAAGCCTTGCACATAATGGCACAGGATTTTGGCCAGTACTATCCTAGTAAACTCATATTATACTGTGTATGTAAGATTATACACTAAATCGCTCAAAATTAGTAGTAAAACCGTATAAGTCCCTCAAGTACACAACGTACATGCTTCTTTCGAGATGATATGGACAGATAAGGTTTGACCGTTTGAGAGAAGAAATCACACTCACCCCTTGTGGATGTACCCCACGACCTGATCCTCCACGGAGAACTCCACGAACTGCCCCTTTTTGTCCTGCAAAATCCCACACACAAATACGCACATGCACAGGTGAAGGCGTTCGCCCATATACATATACCGAATTACCAATACACTAGAGCGCATGTGAGAACAGACGAGAAACTCACCATTCCGCGGTTGCAGGTCTTAACCTTCCGGAAGTACCCGGAGAGGTCGGACTCGTCGCCGCGCCCGCCGTCTCCGGCGACGCGGAGGGCGTCGGCCCAGCCGAACCCCGCTGCAGAAGTGGGCGGCGCGGCGGAGGAGGCGGAGAAGCGGAGGCGGCGGCTAGTGAGGAACTGGAGGCGGGCGGGGGAGCTCCAGCGAGCGGCGGCAGTGATGGTGGCCATGGCGGATATCGCCGGTCGAAGTTCGCACGCTCGTTCTGTTGCAGAAGAGAAATGTGTCCCTTTCTCTCTCAGAAAAAACAATAAAATTTATCGGCCTATGACATGATACTACTAGCCCTCTTTCTTGTCAGCCAAACATAAAAAAAAATTGTTTTTAATAATTTTGGAAAGTGAAAAAAATAAGTGACAAACTAAAGGGATAATTGTATGTTGAACATCCAAAGTGATGGTCATTTACTGGCGGACATCCACTTTGGAGCATTTTGCCAGAAGACACTCTGTTTCGGTGAAATTAGGCTACAGGACACCGCGGACTGGTCACAGCTGGTTGACGAGAGAGAACAACGGTGAAATAACATTCTTGCCCCCGTCGTTTCCTTCTTCCTCTCTCCCTTTCTCTTTTTTTTTGTTTCCTGTCCATGGTGGGGCCGTGGGGGCGCACTCGAGCAGACGGGGCCGCCGGGGCGCGGGTGAACGCGCCAGCCAGGGCATGGGCAGCTGCAGCGATCAGGCGTGCTTTCGGCGGCCTAAGCCACCGGGTGAGGACGAGTGTAGCCACCATGATGATGCGGGCCCATGGGGCGCGGCACCATGCCGCCAAGTGGCTTCAGGCAGGGCGGGACGGGGACGGAGCCGAGGCTTGGCTCAACTTAGTGCAGGGAGGGGCGGCGTGCTGGCGAGGCCATCGGCAAGGGCGGGGCGGAGGAGTGTGGCAGAACCGCCTAATCTAATACCTCCAAGGAGTACTTGTCTTTCATTAGACACTAAATACTCAAGGGAGGACACTAAATTACGTAGTTCCGTCGAGCACACCCTAAGAGAGAACCCAAAATCCATATTTTCTCATCAGGATCACAAATGAGAGAATAAAGCTTACAACATTTTAGCCATTTCTTATATCGCTTTTCATGCAACATCAGAGTATAATATTTATTGTTTATAATAGTGGAATATAAACATGTTATCAGAGTCTCAGCGAAAATAAAATCATTTAATGACAAGTTAAACATTAACATGATGATTCGTTATATACATCATTGCATGTTATAAGTTTTTTCCTTTGTAAAACATTCTGGGTGGAAGTTTCAAATGAACTCTATGTCCGCAACGTTAAGAAAATCCTCGCTGAGGCCACCAGAAGGTTTCCACACACAAATATCAGCTCCTCATGTTCCTGTCACCTGCAACAGGGTAAAACAAACCCTGAGTACTCAATTATACTCCGCAAGACTTACCCGTCAGGAGGAAAGAAAAGACTCCAACGATATGCAAGACTATCTGGTTTGTGGGTTATTACATCTACGGAAGCATTACTAAACGTGCATTCTTATATTCAATTTCATTAGCCGTCACTATTAGTTCATTAACTAACCATTCTATGTAAGCACCTATGCTACTTTCAAGCAGGTGATAAGCAATCAGAACCAGTTTTCCATCTTTCATATTCCAATTCTTACTACGGTGCTAGGCTGTAGACAAGTCGTACTGGATTACCCGGCGATTCATGAATCAATGTGCCCAACTGAGTATCTCGAAACACACTCCCCGCTTGTACCCCAGGCACAAGCAGGACCAACCCACCACTCTCCTGTCAAGGGGTCCAGATCTCCGTCCAAATTTGGACTCCAAGCCCCCACACCTGAGTCCCGGACTCAGTGTGGTGCTTAGACCTCAACCATCTCCGCCTCCAATTAGTCGGTCTGGAAAGAGCCGGAACCCACGACAAGAGAGTAACGAGCCTTCACTGCTCCCATAAACAAGTATGTGCTCAGGATAATAAGTCTGTGACCTGCCTAGAACCCAATGCAACGGGCGGTCCTAAACCGACATAGGCGGAACAAATGCAATCCGAGCCTCCCTCGAATGCCAAACCAAGTCCAGATCCAAAGTACCATTCCGCCCAGTCTCCAATTATCATTCATATATATTTTCTAGGTGATAATCATATAATAGCAATAATAATATCTTTCCTATCTCTTGCGAGTGACAAGCAATCACTCGACTTCTACCGGAGTCATGTAGCATAGCAATCTATACGATCCTGTCATACTAGTAAGACTCATAGGATAAAGATATATATATATATATATATATGCAAGTAGGTTTCATTCAACTCCTTAAAACTTAATGCACAAACATAATATAAAGTGCAGAAAAGTAGGGGTTATGAACCGGGGCTTGCCGAGGTAAGATATAACCAAACATTAGCATTCCATCATGGCGACACGATCAATAAGGCACCACCTTTTCTGTTACTCTGGTCGACTCTAGATCCATCGTTGTTCCTATTATGACATTCATGAATACACGCGGAAAACATAATTAATAAATGGCAACCGCAACTCTTAAAATACGTTTACGCCTCTCACGCTAACGAGCTAGCTCTAGTGACTAACGTGCTAGGCCACATATCCATGTTGTCGAATAAGATGTTATTTCCCAATGAATGTTTTAGTTATACAAACCCAAGGTGTTTCTTTATTCTATTCTATCGATTTAATATTTATTCGAAATAGGCATCATTATCTATCTAGCAAAATAATTATTCTGGTGCTATAAAAATTACAATGAACAACTAATAATATTATGAATTTACTATAAAATTTTCAGAGTCGACCCTATCACTATTTTCTCACAAAAATTAACACAAGTTCATATTTTTAACAATATTAAACATTTTAAAATGATTAGAGCAACCCAGAAACATTTTAAAACTAGATGAACCAATTACACTAACAGATAGATCATGATTTTAGGAGCCTAGCAAAATTGGTTTCACAATTTTTTAGATTCCTGCATAATTTTATATTGAATTTACAAGTTTACCTTACAAACTAAATTAGAAAAACACTAGTGTAAGGAAAATGGACCCCTGGCCCATTTACTTTGGATTTTGGTGTTTGATGACCAACACAACCAAATTAGACTAATGAATTTGCAAGTATTTGTTTTGTAGTCCAATAGGGTGTAAGACGTGACTTAGACGAAGGCGACGTGATGATCCGATGATCAACACCTCAAGCAAGACCTTAGAAGCACAAGAAAAGACCCAAGATGTCAAGCAAAGTCCAAGCATGAAGATAGGAACCAAGCCGTGCGCAAGATTGCAAAAGCAGCTCATGAGGCGACCGACGCCCAAGAAGCTTGACCATCGACGCTGGACCGTGGTTTGGCAGACAAAGCGACCGGACGCAAGGACCGGACGCTGGCGGCAACCGACTCGACCGGGACGCAGGAACGTAGCGTCCGATCGAAAGTGAAGAGGTTCCAGCGCTTGCAAGCTCGCGACCGGACGCGTCCGGTGGCGAGCGACCGAACGGCCGGCAGGCGTCCGATCGGTGGTTCGCAGCTTCTAGCAGTCGGGACGACGACGGACGCGTCGGTCAGACGATTCAGCGTCCGATCGATGCGTAATGCGGGAGTTCGACCCAACGGCTACTTTCTCGATGGGGCTTATAAATACAACCCCCAACCGCCATTTGAGGGGTGTGGAGCCGAGGAACATATCAAGAGTGTTGATACACCATTTGAGTGATCTCCACATGCATAGTGCTTAGTGTTTTATTAGGTGATTAGCATAAGTGCTGCGAAGTGCTTAGGTTGATTAGACCATCGCTTATGCGCTTGCTCTAGGTGTTTGCCTAGTGTTTAAGTGAGGTTTGCATACCTCTTGCCACCCCGTGCTTGTGAGCACAAGTGTGGTACATCGGAGGGGCTTGAAGTCTTGCGAGATCACACCAACCGCGTTTGTGGTGTGGCCGCCACCGTGTCTCCGGAGGGAACAAGGCCCATGCGTTTCGGCGAAAGCTTGATAGTGAAGACGGCGGGGAGCATCCGGGAGAGGCTTGTCGGAAGGCACATCGGAGACCCACTTGCGCGTGGGGAAGGCCCGAGGCTATCCACGGAGTTACCTGACCGGGAGCTTGGCCCTTGCGAGGGATTTCTTGCGAGGGGCTCCAATGAGGACTAGGGGGAAGCTTGCGCGCTTCTCGATACCTCGGTAAAAATACCGGAGTCGTCAACGGGAGTTTGCATATCTCTACCTTGCTCTTTAAGCTTCCGCATTTACATTGATCATGTTATTATCATTTGCGGTAGAGATAGCAATACACTAGCAAAACCGTAGTTGATCATCTAGATAGATTATCTTTTGCATAGGTTTTGCTAGAGGTAGAAAAAGAGGCCATAGTTTAGAGTTAGTTTTTAAGTTGCCTAATTCACCCCCCCCCTCTTAGGCGTCCACGTGTCCTTCAAGTGGTATCAAAGCCAGGTTGGCTCATATTTGGACCTTTGGCTTAACCGCCGTTGAGCCGACGCTTGTAGAGTGGTTGGGATGGATACCGCTAGGCCTCCACAATTTGACGGCTCTAACTTCCCATACTATAAAGCTAGAATGGCTTGCCACCTTGAGGCGGTTGATTTGGGTGTATGGAGAGTCACTCGTGACGGGATGAAACCCATCAAGAATCCCGAAAAACCCAAAAAGAGTGATGAAAAAGAAATGCATTTTAATGCCAGAGCTAAGAATTGTTTGTTTGAATCATTTAGCATGGATGTGTTTAACCAAGTGTTCACCTTAAATACGGCACATGAAATTTGGTTAAAACTTCAAGAGCTCCATGACGGTACAAGTAATGTCCGTGAGCAAAAACATTGTCTAGCTAAGCAAAATTATGATTCCTTTGCTATGAATGATGATGAGCTTGTTCGTGATATGTATTCTCGATTGAATCTAATTATCAATGAGCTCCATTCAATAGGATTATTAAAGCTAGATGATGCGGACATCGTGAGGAAGATCATCTCCGTTCTACCACAAAAGAAATATGCAAGCATCATCACCATCCTTCACAACATGGAGAACTTGAGCACCATGACCCCGGGCATTGTCATTGGCAAGCTAGTGGCATTTGAAATGTCACGTAAGATGGGTCAAGGAGAAGCATCTTCATCAAGCAAAGGCAAAGCTCTCGCTTGTAGCGAAAAGAAAAAGATGAAGG